TCATTTTATTGTTAATTCTAATTTAAATTTTTTTTTCGATAATTAATGTTTATTTTATTGTTTATTTTATCATATTCATTACTTGTATATATTTTGTTCATTTTTTGAAATTTCATAAAAGTTTTTATTTTTATTTCAATGCAAATATTCTGTTCTGGAACTTAAAATTTTAAACTGAAATCAAAAAATTTTTGTTCAATAGAAAAAATTACCGATTTTTTGATCTGTTTATAATTTGCTTCCCTTATTCATCACTGTGTACAAATAGTCATTCATTTTTTTGAGTTATTAACTTATAATTAATAATTGATCATTTTAATCAAAACGTGTTAGTTTTTAACTGTCATTTATTTAGGCGTTTGTCACGTGACTCATGTTCACACTCAATAACTCCACTTCATTCTCAGTTACTAACTTTGGATGATGTAGTAAGCAGTCTTGTCGACAGTAATGACCAGGTCATTCATTTATTAATCAAAGATTTATGCTATACTCAAAATTAATTGAAGTAATACTTTGGTAATCATTTGTTTTGAAAAGAATGTTCTTAATATGTAAATTGTATTCAAACTTTATCATTGAAATCCAAATTAAGCTAAATATGCACAAAATCACTTATTATTTTTGATTAAAACAAAAATTGAATAAGTGTAACAAAGCAAAAATTGCACAAAAACAAACAAAGTTTTCGCTTTAATTTTTCTAAACTTTTAATTACTGTTTTATTTCTAATATTTGCTGTTAGTTATTAAAAAATGCTTCAAATTCCAACGTATATTATATTTTGTGCAATAATTAATAGTAATCTCTTTTCAAAACTTTACTAAATTACTAATTCGTCTTACTTTTTGTAGCATAAATTTTTGCCTTTATTAAATTTTTCTTATATTTTCACGAATTATTTTTTAATCAAAGTTTAATCATAATTTAAAAAATAATTTTACGTCTTATTTATGACAATCAGTTAAGAATAAATATAATTTATATACTAAAACATTAATCGAATAGATTAGAAGTAAAAATTGCTTGACAATAATTTAGTTTTTAACTATAATATAAAATTATTTTTTAATAAATTGAAATTAGCTCAAACATTTTTCATTTTTAATTTGAAATAAATTTCTTTTAAACTTTTCAAGTCAAAATACTTACTTAAAGTCAAAATATTTTTGAATAATTATCAAACGAAAGATAATTGATAACTTACTATCACTATCTTTGAATACTTTGCTTGCAAAGTGTTTTCTTGTATCTTTCGTTGCTAGCTAATTAATTTGTTTAGCATAAAATTTTAAGCATTTGAAAGAAACAATTCAAACATTTTGCAGAATAAATAATAAAATATATGCATTGTTAATTAATAACAATCAGTGATGAATTAACGTGAATGATTACTTTTAACGATAATTTTTCTGAAAATAATCCAAATTTTTGACAAATGTAATGAAGCACAACAATTGCTTCAAAATTCGTTACAAAGATGTAAAACATATATTCTTTGTCTTGAAGTGAATATTCTTGCTCAAACTTTCATTTATAAGATTAATTAATCATTTTTATAAAAAGTGAATAGTTCTTTTTTTGTTTTTAAAGTGAAAGAAATTTGTCAAAAACAAATTCTTACTTTAAACAAATCTTTTTGTGTCTAAAATAAACCTATTATATCTTGAAGTGAAAAACTAAGCCTAAGGTAAGATAATTATACTTGTTGGTGTTTTTTTTTAATTCATCAATTTCATGATAATCAAAAAAATTAATAATAATGCATGTATTTTGGCGGAAAATTCAAACATACTTGACAATTAAACATTAATTAATAAGTTTACATAAGCAATAAGTAACAAGCGTAAAAAACGTGGCAAGATGATTCAGAATCACAACTGTTACAAGCGTTCTTGTGTACACTTTTAGTATTAGTTAGGTAGTTAGTTAGTTTGTTTTAAAAGTTAGACTAGTCTTTGATTTTTTCATAAACGCTTTTGTTCTTTATCTGAATTGTTGAATGGAGTACTCATTTGAAGTACTTCTTCAAGTTAAGTAATGGTATGCAACAATCAAAGAGGGTCAATTATTTGATTGAAAATAAGCCATTGATATTTCAGATGCTTCATCAGGTCAACTTTAATAAAGAATTACTGCTTGAAGAAAAGACACAAATTCCAAAAGAAAAGCCTAAAAATTTTCTTGGAAAGGTTTTATTTCCTTTTCAAACAAACTTTCAGTAATTGAATAATTAAGTAATCAAAAATTATAATTCAGTAATTCTAATTTTGAAAACTTCCGAAAATCTCCTCAGTTCAACGCTTCATTTTGCAAATAGAAAAAAGAGCAATCTATTTGCAGTACTTTTTCATTTTAATTATATTCCTTTCAAGTTCATAATTTCTTATTTGATGGAATATTTTGAAGAATATTGTTTCTAGGCAAAATTCTATTACGATAAGTATAATTTACGACACGTGGCACCAGTTGTCTTATTATTAATGTACTCATTATTAGGTGCAGTATTTTTTTGGTGGGTTGAACGAGAATATGAACAGGAATTGATCAAGTTTGTATACAATTTTTGAATAAGCTAATTTCGTTGTTTAATTTTTTGAATTACAAAAATGTGAATCTATTTTAGGCAAGAGAAACTATTTCTCGATCACTTGAGAAACGACACGATTTCGAGATTAAAACGATTACTCCTGAAAAGTAGCAATACTGAAAATTCAGATTTATTTTTGTTGAAGTTAGCGAGATTTATTCTAATTTTTGAAATAGACATAGATTTGTATTTATTTAATAAATTAAATTAAATACATTATTGTGTAAAATATTTTGGCATTTAAAATTTTTGCACATTTTGCACTTTTAGTGCTTCAAAGGTTAACAATTCAAATTACTGTTGCACAGTGAGTGCATGCAGAATTTTATTTTCCAGTGCTTAAACTATTCAAAACTATTATAAATGTTATAATTGTGATAATAATAATAATTATTATTATTATCGTGATCAGTATTGTTATTAGTCATGGATGATGATAAGCAAGTTTTTTACAGGAAAATATTATTGTGGTACGAAAGTCAGTTAATAAAATTGAAAATGACAAAAGGTTTAGAATGGGATATGTGGGGCGCACTTTTCTATGTTGGCACTATTCTCACTACAATTGGTACTTTTAACTGATTATTCATACTAATTAAGTTTCATAAACTTCAGAAAATGCTGTAATCTTTAGAATAATGAACTTAAGGGTACGGTAATATCGCACCTCGCACATCTGGTGGACGTGCATTAAGTATTGTATACGCAATTTTTGGTATTCCGCTTGTACTTGCAATTTTAAGTGAATTTGGTAGAATGTTTACAACTTTTGTGAGCAACGCTTGGATAAGGTAACGTATAATACAACAACTTACTTCAATTAATTTTGAGTGTATAGCGTTATGTTAATAATTTGATGCTACTTTTTAATTAACATTTGGAATGCCATTTATGCATCGATATCAAATATTCTTTTAACATTGAAATGGGATTAAATTTGGGGATATCTTACCTTTGGTCTAAATTTAGGTACTGTGTAAGCGTCTAAGGCTAACTTAAAAATCTAATCCAGTTGATAACTGCAGATATCGACAGTGTATCAAAGGTTTAACCAAAAAGCAACGTATTGCAGAAACAAGAAAACGTCAAAAATTATGGGATAAAAGACGACGAAATTATGTTAGGTTAGTATACTTAATTTGTTATTCGCTAAGATAGCTATTTAAAATTAAATCTACACAATATTTTTCAAGTAATACTAACTTACATATAATTGTGAAGTTGTACTTAAAGTTACTCAGTGGCATTTTGGCGTTCATCACACAGTAAACATAAAGCATAATTTATTAATTTCAACTTTTTAAATCAAATATATTGAGAATTTATTTATTTTTTCTGTAATTTTATTACTTTATTTTCATGCTTTGCTGAATACGTTTAATTCAAATTTCTCCCGAATTTAAATTCAAATTCATATTAATTGCAAAGTCGAAATTTCTCTCAGAAGTATAACTAACTAATTTTTACCATTAATTAATTCATGCAAAGCTCGGAGATGAACAAAAAGTGTAAATTATATTTAGAAATATACTGGATGTTGAGGAAGGTGATAATCTTAACCATGATGAACTCGAAAGTAAATCAGACGAAATAGCACAAGAAGTAGAAGATAAAGTTGAAAGCAGGTTGATAGAATAGATGCAATTATTTTTTGTATTGAATTTATGACTGATTATAGAATGAATTGGATTAATCAAAAAATAATTTCAACAAACTGATTAAACCATAATTATATTGCAAATTATTTGCATATTTTGAGGACAATCCCAATATGGCTTGCGTTATTTATCTGCATTGGATGGATTTGCATATGCGCAGGTTTATTTTGCCTTTGGGAAACACACTGGTCTTACTTTACTTCTCTTTACTTCTTCTTCATATCCTTATCTACCATCGGTCTTGGCAAGTTTATCCAAAATTATTATTGGTTTTTCTTTTTATTAAGAATACTTTGTTAAAAATCATTAAAGATTTAGTATTTACTACATGTATATAGCATAAATTTTTAGATAAGATGATGAAAATTTTACTTTTTTGCGGTATTTTTAATTTTACTTAAACAAATTTGAATTTTCCTCTCATATTTAAAAACTGTAACAAATTTTTCTCCACTTAATTACTTCATAAATTTAGTCTTACTTTGTTAATTTGCTACGTCTTAAGTCTAATTTATGCTTTACTTTGAAATATTATTTATTCAAACTATTTTTGCAATAAATAATTATTGCTTTAAAGTATGCTAATATGCAGGCGATGTGGTGCCAGACCATCCACATATGTTAATATTAATGTTTTGGCTAGTAATTATCGGTCTATCTATTGTTTCAATGCTTATAAGTGTAATACAGATTAAGTTTGAAGAATGGCTTTATCATTTGATGATTCGAATGCAAGTAAGCTTTTTATGACAAGTTGCACATTTTATTAGCACTGATTAATTATCAGATGAAATACTTTTGCTTGATATTCTCAAATTGTGTCATTTGTCGATAGAACAGAAAATTTTTGATTGATTTCAAATTTGCGATTGCAATAAATCAGCAATAATAAATGTTAATTAGAAAACAAAATACATATTCAACAGAGCATTTTTACAAAGTGTTGATAATGTGCATATTTTGCTCATTTTTAAATAAATGAATAAATTATTTCGTTAAATAGATAATTTATTAGTTTCACTTTTCAGAAGGAATATCAACGTGCTTTAGCAAATGGAAGTCCAGTAAAACGTGAAGACATACTACAACGTCTGATGCAAGCGGAGCCGTGGTACTTGAGAAATATGGCGCCACACTTACTTACTGATAGACAGACTGCCCAACTTGATCAACAAGTGTGTACGCAAGATTTTCTCACAAATTTTATATCAATTTGAATGAGCAACAAAGTATAATCAATATTGGCAAATATATCCAATATGCAAATTTAACTTTTATGCAAAAAATTTTCCGGATTTTAATTTAATTATGCAAAATAGCTTTTGATTAGCTTTTATTAATTTTTGTACAAGTTGTACTTTATTTGTAAACACTTTCCTAATTCCGTGAAAAATATGTTTCAAAAAAAAGTGTACTGACAAATAAAAGTGGTAAATTTATGCTTAGAAATATTTTGCGCAGTAATTATTAATTTCAGGCTGAAACTTATGAGAGATCG